CAGAAACAGAGGCTTGGATCCAGTGATTTTAGTCCTGTGGATTTAGGTATGAGTAATCACGGGTTGCCCTTGGAGGCATTCTCTTCTCAAACCAGACTGGTGTCAAGTCAGTCAGTCCATACGAGAAATTGCCAAGAGGTCAGCATGTATGAGCTAGCGCTAGAAACTCTTGTCTGCAGCCATGCACATGGTGTACACCTTTTCCTCTTCTGCCCTCATATTTCCCAATCTTTTCTAATTTCCTTTCCCCTTTGAAACTTCCTGTTACCCCTATGGAAAAGCACAAAGTATCTTTTTTTCAGGGTTTTTCATGTCGATAAAGAAAAAGACTTGCCCGGGACACAGTTGATCACAAAGCACATGTTTCCAGAAAGTCTAGGAGGGGCTTCATTCTTCGGCGGAGAAGGGAGGGCAGATGTGGTGAGGCTGCCCATGTGCTTCCTACATGAGGTACCTCTAGGTTCTTCTATGCAAAGAGAGGCTATGAAAAGTGCAGAGACCTCTGGGGATATGTTGTGCCACCTGAAGAGGGTGTGGTGGTGGCGATACAGCATGAGGAAGGTTCCTCAGGTTCCGTGCCAATTAACTAGTCATGGGAACTTGGGCAAGTCATTTCACTCCCTCTGGGCTCTGCTCCTCCTTTGGCCAAAGGGGTTAATCCTAATTATACCGCTTGCTTTACAGAGAGAAATCATGAAGACTGAGTCAAATGAAATAAAATTTGGAAAATTCTTTGAAAGGTTAAAAGTGACATGTAAGTGTGATTGTTGTTATTCTGGATTTCAGGAAGTAGAGGAATAGGAACCAACCATAGCGTACCCCACCCTCTTCTTCCAGAATTTGCCAAGCCTCTATAGTGGCGGTGACCATACCCTGCCAGAAGCTGTGGGAGGGGAGGGGCTCCAGAAGCCAGCAGCCGTTGGAAATGTAGCCAGCCGAAACCACCCGACCTCCCTCCTTGCCTGGCCTTCTCCAAACCCCAGAAAAGTCAGAGTTTCTGTGGAAACTTAAGCTGTGCCTGCTGGACCAGACTGCATTGGGGGTGGGGGCTGCACACTGCCAAATGGCGGGCATGGAGGGGAAGCGACAGCTGGAGGGTATCAAACTGGAGGGAGTCAAAAGCCTTCTCCTGCCAGCCTGTGCTAGGCCTGCGGACTGCCGCCTGCAATCAGATAGGCCAAGTGTGGGTGGCTCTGGCAGGGCGAGGCTTGGGGAGCCTGTGTGTGGGATGCTGGAGAGGTATGGGGCCAGCAGGCAGAGCCTGATGGTGCACACTGCCCATGGAAACCAGAGGGGATATTGGGTCCACCCTGGCAGTCCCTAGCTGGCTCCTTCTCCAAGGAAGGAGGCTTCTTGCTTAGCTAGAATCAAGTGAAAGACAGTGAACTCACCTGCTGCTTCTGGTGTACAAAGACCCCTGTATTCCTTCCCAGCACTCCTACTCCTTCCTCCCCAACACACAGCCCCTACCACCACACACACACACACGCACACACACACACACACACACAGCCTCTGGAGAGCACCCAAATAGAGAGCAAATAGAGAGGGCTTTCCATTTTGCTCCCGTGGGCACATGTGTGTGCCTGCTCTTTCTCAGTTATCCCATCTGCCTGGCCACTTAGCTGAGCAGGATGGCTCCCAGTTCTGAGACCGGTAACATGAAGTTGACAGAAAAGTCTGCCTGAAGCATGACTGCTGCCACTCAATGCTCTGGACTTTCAAGGTCAGCCCTCCGGACACAGTTGTATCTTCCTAGACACTGGGTAGCAGTTTTTGTAGCCTGGCCACTGACATCAACTGGCCTCTCATAAAGGAGTCCATGTACCGTATTGCAGGACATGACATTTTAAAACTAATTTAAATAGCACATAACATGGTTTTAAAAACTAAAATGTACAGTTATTTACACATGAGGCTATTGAACCAATGTCATTGGCTCCCTGGTCCCAGAAGTCCCCAATACTTGTTTCTTCTCCCACCCCCATCCCTAGTGCCACCCACGGTCTTGGTGACTTTGCCTCTTTGGGACTCAGCTTTTCATTT